TTTTTAGAATCAGTTTTATATTTATAACTTCATTGTAATACGTTGTAATGAAAGTGTATTTCTATTGTATAGAAATAATAAAACACAGTTATTTTCTTAATGATATGAATAATAGTATTAATTAATTTTCTGATCAAGTAGTATATCTTTTAAGTTATCATTTTGATTATCATTTAATACTCATTGAGCAATTTGATATTCTTAATAAGAAAATAATATTTTCCAATAATTTTAAGTTAATATCAATTACATCAATAAAAAAGAAAAAAAGTAATTAATTTAAACAATTAAATAAACATTATTCAAATGAATATAATAAAGAAGATATAATTCAATCAAAATAAAACAATCGGATGATTATAAAAATATTTGTTGAAATCTATTTTTATTTTTATATTTTTAAATCAAAAGTATTTTAAAATCAATTTAAGTTTTTATAAAAAATGATAAAAAAATGGAATTTTCAGAATGAGTTGATGATGAATTTTTTCTTTTCAATGAACTTTACTGTTCATTTGCAGTAATTTATTATGAATAATAACGTCAGAAAGGTCTTTTTATCAATTGTGTTTTCTTTCCTTGTTGTTATTTATATGTTCTTTCTATCCATTCCAATACTTCATTTAATCTCATTGATTTCAACCAAAACAATTTCTAAAGAAGAACTATGTAATAAATACACCTGGGCAAGAAGAATTTCATTAATATTAGGACTTACGTATGGATTGGGAATAATGGCAATTCCAAAATTAAGAAGATGTGCTTTATATTCTGCTTCTATTATGATATTCACTTTAAACATGATTCCCTTTTTATTAATTATTGATTGCATTGGACTTATCTTATTCAATTCTATTCATTACCATCTTCTTTTTTCATATCATTTATTACAGCAAATTATCTTCCAAATTATTACAGAGTTTCGATGTTTCTTTTTGTTATTATTGGTTCATTGTTGGTTGATGCTTATTCACTTTGGAAAGGACATCGATTAGAGTATCGTCATTTTACTTTCCATTCATCTAAAATATCAAAAGAATTTTCGTTTGTTCATATCAGTGATATTCACATTGGAAGTAGATTTCTTTCTCATTCTCAGGAGATTGTTGATAAAATCCTTCCTCTTCATCCTAACTTTGTTGTCATCACTGGAGATTTAACTGATTCACCAAATATTCAAATAGAAGAATTAATGCCATTCAAGTCATTAACATCACAATGTCCAGTTTATTTATCCACTGGAAATCATGATTATATCACTGGTATTGAATATCTTAAACCTATGTTAATAACTTGTGGTATTATTTTATTGGAAAATACATTAGTAACAGAGGAAGAACTTCAATGTTCTATCATTGGAACTAATGATGCTCAATCAGAAAAGAAGTATATTAATGAAATGAATAAAGTTTCAAATGAAGTTAATGCTAATACATTTAATATTATATTACAACATCGTCCTCATGGATATCAACAAACATGTGAGAAAGGGATATATGATTTAATGTTATCAGGACATACTCATGTAGGTCAATTTGCACCATTTAATATTCTTGTTTATTTATTCTTTAAAAAAGCATATGGACTTTATACAATCAAATCAAAAGATAATAAACATCAAATGCATCTTTACACACATCCAGGTACTGGTGCATGGGGACCTCATATGAGAAGTGCAGGAACAAATGACATTACAATCTTTCATATTAAACCATAAAGTATTTATAACCAAAAATTATTTAATTTTTTTTTATTTGTCTTTTACTTCTTTTATAATATCATTAGAATGAGCTAATGAAAAAGGAGAAAAAACATTCCATCCACTTCCCATTAATTCTTTAATATTGTTCAAAATACCATTATTATAAGATGGAAATGGATATTTATGATATAAGAAATAATTATATCTTTCATTTTCAATAGATTCCATAGTAGTTTGATTCTTAATAATATTTATAGTATATAAATAGCAAAGATGTACTAAAATAAATGAATAATAAATGAACAACATAATAATAATAATAAAATAACAAACATATTGATATAAATAATGCAATAACAATTACTAAAAGAAAAATATCAATTAAATAATTACAAATAAATAAAAATGGTAAAAATTGATTTAATAAAATGATAGTAATATATAAACTTGTATCTTTAATTATACTCCATATTAATATAATTATTCCAAAAAATATTGAAATGACTATATAATAGAGAAATAATATAAAAAATTTATAATTATTTCTTCCTATACAATTACCAACCCAACTACAATGATGATCTTTCATATCAATACATCGTTTACATTTTTTACAATGATATGTTCTTTCTTTTTTAATTTTTTGACATTTATAACAATATCTTACTGGATATCCAATATCAACACAAAACATGTGATGTTGTTTTGCATATTCACTTCTTTCTTTTGCCTCTTTAATTTCTTCTTCATTTTCTTTACATAGTATATTTGATCCATCTCCTGGATCAGTGAAATGAACTTTAAAAAGTGAAACCATTGCAATAATGAAAAACAATAATCCTATTATCATTATGATAATTCCATAAATTGAATTAAATATCTTCCATAATAAAACATTCATTACACACTTTCCAAAAATAATACAAATAATAAATACTACAATTATTGGTGTAATTTGTTCATAAATATCTTTGTATTTATTTTTATTGTGTTTTATTTTCTTTGGTTTAGGAATAAATGGTATTAATACATTTTCTTCACAATTCATTTATGAATGGTTTCTTAATAAGTTCTTTCTTTATAAAAAAAACTTTTAACTATTTTTAACAAAAATAAAATTAAGCTTCTTCAATTCTACTCTGACTCTCCTTCTGATGATAAACTCTTATTTTCTTGTTGTGTTTCTCCTTGAATCAAATCTTGTGTTCCTTCCTTTTTATCTTCTTTTTGACTCTCTGTCTTTGCTTCTTCTTCTTTTTTACTTTCTACACTTAGTGCTTCTATTGGAATATCTGACTTACGTTTAGAATTCTCATTTACACATAATGTATCAATACATGTATTAGCTTCTCCATCACTATATCCTTTATATACTTTTGATAACATAATAGCAACTTCTTGAAAAGATGGTCTATCTCGTGGGTCTTGTTGCCAACACCTTTTAATAGCTTCAGAAAATAAACATCCATTTGGTATTTCAAGTCTCTTTCCTGCTCCAACAAATTTAAGAATTGACTCACCATCTGGGAATTTTATTGAGTCATATGGATCTTTACTTATCCAAACTTCTAACATACAAATAGCAAATGAATATAC